CCCCCCCCGGGGGGGGGGGCCCTGGCTAAAAGCCTGATGATAAGCTACTGTACTTAGGAAAATTTGGATGCAATTTGAGCCAAAATCATTGCGAAAATTTGAGTCAATGAAAATTGGCATTTGCTGCAACAAAGGGGCCAATTATGACGATAACCGAATTCGAACTCTCAATATTTCACTAAAGCTAAACCTTGGCCTTGTTTTGACCACAGCTATTGACTGTGTTTTGACCCACAATTTTGTAGTGTAAACAAACTTTGACCCTGCCTAGGCCAGAAAATCTTGCCACACTCTGCGATCATTAGCCTAGTCCAAGTCAAGCCTTGTAGCAAAGTAACGAAACGACCAAAACGAACTGAACGACCAAAACCACTAAAAGGTCGTAAATTATTGAAATATAACAGCAAAAAAACCCAAGAAACTGATGCAAAGAAATGAAGTTTGCTAAACATGGCCGCCAGATATGCGCAGTAAAAACTACCGTAAAAACTCGCGAAGTGAGACCTCTGTATAGTTAGTCTGTGCCCTTGGCATAGTTGCTGCTAAATATGTTTCCCGGCAAGAATAATTCGTATTTATTGGTGTTAAATAGCAAAACTCGTTAGCTTAAAATACATCTTACACTGACGCCAATTTTTCCGTAATTGTTTTCGTTTCGGTTTTTTCGACATTTTGGTGGTTTTGTTCCGGCAGTTTCGTTACGTCACTGAACTGGTGAGTCTGCTATCCTTACTTGTCCCAAAGAATGTTTCGACGTCGACAGAGGTTTAAGGAGGGGGGGGGGGGGGGTAGGGTGTACCTAGTACCCAAAATCATATAAACAGCACCTGAAAGGCCTTCGTTCAAAACGTCAAGGTGCTTTAATCTTTTCCATGCTGACGTGGTTCCTAATATGTCTTTTCGAGGCTTGCACTATTCGAGGGTGGCGTTTAGTATTATACTTACGGCCATTCGTCGAGATCGAGAGAACGAACTCTGGAAACGTGAGTTCCAAGATTTCTATGAAATCCACAACACGCAATACATATTAAGGCACCCAAGTTTAACGTGGCCCAGTCAGGGTCTACAAAGTAAAATCAATGTGAAGGAATCTTGAAAATAATTATTCGGCTTTTCCATCCACTGTACATGTATACTATTTTGGGTTATGCGATACGAATTTTTTTACTATCCCAAGCTTCCAAGCAACAAAATTATTTGGTAAACTTCATGGGTCGGTTGTTCAAAGGTGTGTTAGCGCTAACTCTGGGTCAAAATTTAACCTGCTGTTTTAGTTTGTGTATTTCTGGACGTCGATCCAGACAACTCTATGAAGAATTTATGGACAAACTGTCAGGGCGTTTGCTTTGAATTTTAGGTTAACCTCGGGTTAAGCTAACCCAGCTTTGAACAACCGGTCCCATATGCATACGAATGCATCTGCTTTCAAATATTGTAATTCACTAAAAAAAGATTAGCAGTACAAATGTAAAATAGTTATCAGCAGTACAAATGTAAAATAGTTACGGATGCAAAAAAAACAAACTGAATGATCTCACCACCTGATACGAAAACGAAATTCCGTAAAATCTTCGAAATACAACACAGAAACAACTAAACTTTACTAACACGAGTTTTCAAGTATAGGGACGTTAACTAACCTAAGGCTTAACTCAACAGTAAGCCGGGAAATGCTACTCCAACCTCGTTCCCAGACCTCTTATCTACGCTCAGTGCTCCAACCTACGAGAGAGCCTGGGAATATGGTTGCTGCTATTCATGCTCCTACATGTAATGTAATAACTTACTGGGTTCTCCACAATCAGCGCAAACGTTGTTTCCAGGTACGTTACGAATTGGTTGAAGATCACTTTCTGATGAGGAATTGCTGTTCATCTAAAACATTATTTCGTTACAGTATAAAACATTTGCAAGAGGTAGATAGAGTATACAGAGTTCCAACAAAGGGAAAACTGACAAGAACATAGCATTTTCTATTGGCAGAAATTTCAGATGCTGTAGACATACCACCAAAATTCCTGTTGGCCCAGGGCTGCCTTTATAGTTTTATCTACAGTACTTTTTGCACATTGCTATAACATCATACAAAGGCGGGGGGGGGGGGGGGGGGGGGGTGTTACATGTATTATATCAATCCCAGCTACTTATCTGCAGAAAAACAATGCACAGGCATAAGACCAGGTCATAGCCACACAAATTTCAGGGTCGAGGATTTTACCTTCGAACGATCTTCAGAAAATTCTTTTATTTGGGCACAAGTACATATTTTTCGGTACAAAAAGAGGCCGTACACCCTTTTAGCTTCTAAGGTGACCGCATAACTGAAGGCTGAGACAAGTTTACACAACGTAAGAGAGGTGTAATCCAGATTCTATCTTGAGAATTGCTAAAGTTTAAAAAAAGAAGCCAGCGCATCCATCAAGGATGCAAGTGACTAACCTTGTCTCTGCCGCTAAAGTTTGATTGAAGACATGTCAGTATTTGTTGTTCGATTTCCAAAACCCATTTCTCTCTTTCCTGTAACAACAACAGCAAAATATTTAAATTTCTGGAAATGATCGCTCTAATGGTCCAGTAACCTTCTTTAATCATGCACGTGAATCTCCCTATAGTGCAATAATAAAATCCATTTTAAACATTTGTACAAACTAACCTCTAATGATCGAGCGGCGAAATTCCACGATTTGCCATCAAGTGAGACAAGCTTGAACTCGTATTCATCTGTGCCGTTCCGCGTATCTAAGGAAACACATATTGAATGCTAGTATTGTTCAAGATACGTGCAAGGCAATAAGGACTTTGGCGCAAATACTCTTTCCAGTATTTTGTGCCAGGCCCATTTTTCTACAGAGAGCTTTTAACACCTAACCAAGCCGGAGAAAAAGTCTTTAGCCTAACCAAGGAGCCTCCGTAAGTTACACGATTATAGTTTTCCCATACCTTTACATGAGCTCGTTGGCGGAAGGAGATATTGCGAAAAGCTCATACTTTAATACAACCAATCTCACAGACGCAGGCCCAACCTCGTACTCAGGCTCTTTCCTCTATACCACAAAGTTGACAATGACCCAAACGCAGAAGCTCTGTGTACAAGGTTGACATTGGTCTCTCATGGCGTTTCTCTAAATAAATGCCCCCCAATCAATGTTGAATGCAGAGAAGTGTCCATAATACGATAACGGAATGGCCGGATATGCGTGTAAAGTCTAGGTTTAGCATTTTATTAGATTTTTTCCAAAAAGTGGATTAAGTGGCCACATGAACTTTGGCCTTGATTGTAGTACATGTATCTTGATTTTTCTTTATTTCCATGTTAAAATTTAAACTCAAACCCCTTCAAAGCTCAATTCAAGATTGTGTTCTTACGCCATAGAAAAACTCAATAAATAATGACTACTGACTAATAAACTAAATACTAATATTGACTAACCTGTTTTTGTATCATTCGTAATCATCATCTTTGTAGTACCGTGACTTTTTGATCGACGATGTCCTTTCTTTTTAAGACTTCCTGAGAGAGTATTAGTCTCCACACGACTCTCTGAACTCACTGTAGGCCACTTTCTCTCTTTTCCATCACTCGGTGTTGTCGCAGGAGTCGTTGCAGGCGTTGTCCTCGGGGATTGTGTATTCTGTGATACAGTACCGTTTGCCGCATTCATTAAACTTTTTTGTAATTCCTCAGGAAAACTACTAAAGTCAAGTTCACATGATTTCGTATGTTTATTATTCCGACGATTACGACCTCGTTTTCTCGGAATTGATTCACTTCTGTTTATTGATTCAGGTTTAGATTTCAATACCGTAGGTGTAGCGGCGGCCATAATATGGTTTGCTGTACTAGATAGTGCCGATTTTATCTCGGATCCATTGTCTTGTGCTAAAAAATCGTTTGATATAACTAAAGAACCGTTTTCTTGTACCCCATTATTTCGAAGTATTTCATCTTCGAGGGAATTTGTTCGGTTCGCTCCCTGGCTTCCAAGTTTCGGCGTCGCATTCCTCCCTGAAACAACGAGATAACGAACAAAACAATAAACGTGGTGTTTTTACAAACACAACACAACGCAACGCAACACAATACACTACACTCTTCTGGAATTTACGTCAACATGACCACACAACCTCGCATTTTATCTTGCTATCCAAAGGGCTTTAACATTACAGTACTTCCTGCAGAAGTGTGCATTGTGCACTTCAACACATTTTTATTAAATGCATGAGTGACAGGGTTACCACAAAACAGTAACTGTGATGTGCAGTATACAATATAGTTATTGTGGTGCGCCCTTCAAATGAATGAAATATAAAATGCATTTTTAAGAGTACATAAAATACTAAAAGGATAGAAGACTACTGTAGCAAGATATCGAGCAGCATTACATTTTAAAACAGATCTATTGCCTATGGACCATGTGTTTACATGTTCATAGTTAAGGCAAAAGCAATACAGTGGCTACCCCCAGACCCCTGCTGCAGCTTGCTTGGAGCGCCTCGCCCCTTGAATTTTCGGCACCCCCGCCAGAGCAAAAGTTGAAAATCCGTTTATGTTTTCATAAGTCATCATAGTGTATTTTCTATTACAAAGCTTTCTGGACCTATTTTACAAGTAAGTACAAATAACACGAGATAAAGCAGGACACCAACATAAAATGCTCAAACACGAATAACTATATATACACTACACACACCATGCAAGAGATCTCCATCCTCCACTCTCAATAAACAACAGTAATTGTAATTACCTAAAGATGTTGCAATGGGAGGCGTTTTTCCAGGAATTTTGACGGTCGATTGTTTGAGATAGATATGTTTACCATGAACATTTTCAATGTAATCCTATATAACATAGTAATATGAGATAAACAAGTGTTCGAAGGCAACTTTACTGAAACACCTGACCTAGAGGTTTCATGGTATGCACGAAAGGTTATAGACGGGTTTCGCCAAAGCCTAGTTCTCTTATATCGCCCATGGACGCCGACAATCGGAGGTGAAAAGATATAACTATTTCGTATATATCGCTCATATGAGCGTAATATAAAGGGGCCCGGTTGTGTAAAACTGTTTTACTACTTTCTGACTACTGTTTTGTAGTTAAATTATAGTTAACTCCAAAATACACGATGCTAACTGGTTAACTTTAACTGTATTTTTATACAATATTGATGTTATGTGCAAATACATCAATGTTATAAACCGATACAACTAAAAGATAAACCGATACAACCAACAGATAAACCGATACACTAAAAGATGAGGAAGCGGAAGTAAATACAACTAAAAGATGAGGAAGCGGAAGTAAATCAGAAAAACGGAAGTAGAGCGACGCGCCTACATACAACAATGGCGTCTCTTGGACCATGTATTTGGCTTCCTAATGGTAATACAGAAAACTTTTTTCGTGAACTGGTAGATTTAATAAGAAATGCAGAACAAGGTCGCACTCATTGTGACTCACCAGACTTTTATTGTCGTAGATTAGAAGAGTATGAACGCACATTAAGTGTTTTAACAACAGCCCACCGATTCACCGAATCATACTCAACGGAGCAGTTTTTAATTAACAATCTACATATACTATGCACTTATTTAAATAGTTTGCGAAATGAATTCGACGTTATTGTTGAAAATTATGAACGGACCTCAGAGTGCTTTTCACTAGATGATACTTACGACCGTGCGGTTTGTATCTGCGATTCTGCGAATGCTGTAAATTGATCACGGCGTTTAAGATTGACTGAACAAAATTCTGAACATTTGGTATTCTCACT